AACACAGGGCCACTGATTAAAGTCCTAGCAGATGTGATCGTTGGAGGCAGGATAATTCTTTCAATTAGGGAAAAAGCATACGTGCTTTTCAGCCAAAAAGCAACAAAATTCGCTCGTGAAATGGAGGTATTGATGCTTTTTAAAAAATCAATGCCTTCTTTCTGTCGATCTTATGAGGATTAAATACAATTTTTGTGGTGTAGAGAGCACAATCCCAAGCACAGAACTATCCAGGAAGGAAAGAACTGATCAGGAAAGAAATGAGCGCTGTGGCCTCTATCTGCCAATGAGTTGTCAGGACACAGTGACATTTCATACAAAGTGGAAAGTGAGGACTTGATTAGGACTTCTTGTTAGTATTTGTTATTTTTAGTTGCAGAAAAAAATACTTTTAGAACTTATTTATTTTACAGTTTGTTAGAACAAGTTTTAATCTAATTAAGTAGTGCTAACCAGAATTCACACTGATTAACTGAGAGAAAAACAGCTTATGCAATTGGAAATTTTGAAACTTCACGGCTGATTCACTGTGGGAATAGGAAATCAAGGAAAGGGAATAATGAATAATCTTATGTTTTATATGTGTAGTTTGCTAAAAATCTTTGCATATTTCTTGCTTCGGGAGGTAATAGGCTCATCTGCCTGTGCCCTCTGGTCAAAAATTGCATGAGTGGGGTTCTGCAGTAAAGAAAGAAATTATTTTATTAGAATTGGACAATCTGAAGCCAGTCCAGCTCATGCACTGAAATACTCAACTTCCCGACTCACAAATGTTACAGGTTATATAGGAGAAAATCACAAGACACATAGGTTAGGGGTTCAGGGTCCTGTTAGGAGCTGATTGGTCAGAGGTGAGAGAATGGTAATAAAGTCTTTCTTCAGGTCTTGAGGACAACTCTGAGATCAGGTCCTGTGTCCAAAACTATTTTCAAGGAGGCCATCCCACTTTAGGGCTCAGGAGCTGAAACATAATTTAGATCAAAATGTTCTCTTTAGCCTGTCAGGGTCAGAACCAGACTACCGCTGCTGCAGGGGTCTGAAATGGTGAGATACTGAGGCCAGGTCAGGGAAGTGTGCTGAGAGAGAGAAGGCAACGATGTAAAACTACATTGTAAATCAAATCAGAATTACCAGAAACCTTGGTTTCCCTAGGAGCATGGGAAACAATTTCCTTTAGCAGTCTGTTTGTAACATGTGTCAAATAAAAACAAATCTGAATTTAGAAGAAAAGAAGCTTTACTTAAAAGATTATTTTAGGGCACAAATAGGGGAGGAACTAATGCACTAGGTGCTCCAGCCACATACTTCTGCCTCAGGGCTTTTGCACAAGCAGCAAGCAATTTCTTCTTCCCAGAATATTTATATCACTCATTGTCTCCTGAAAGTCTGCTTAAATATCAACTTCTCAATCACACTTTTACTGAATAGTCTTACTGATTTTATTATCTTGATAGTCTTGCTTGATGAGAAGGCAAGTTCTATAATATCAGGTATCTTTGTTCTGTTCACTGATATATTCTGTGTCCAGAACAGGCTGCTCCGAGATGTGCATTCAGTAAATATCTGTTGAATGAGTGAAAAGTTGTCACTTAACACTTGCCTAAGTTTTGCTATAACTTTATTAGAAAACTTAATTAATTTTCTATATGTCTAAACTCTGAAAATAGAGATTTATAGAGTTTCTTGTGTCAAGAAGTTGGGGAACAGGAAATAAGTTAAATAATTTCTTAAAATATGATTACATTGTTTTATTTTGTACATTGTAAAAAACTCAAGTAACATAATGTATAAAGATGAAAGATTTTATAAATGTTTTATAGAAAACTCAAAATCATACTACCTGAACTTAAGTATAATTGACTTTATATAACTATTATTATAGCTGTCACCCTTGATGATCTGTATGTTACAGATACTGCAGATCAGAGAACAATCATTGTAGATCTCTATCTCCTTCTATGTAAAATATAAATATATTAATATATAATATAAATTGTATTTAATATATAATATATTAATGCTTTTAAATGTATTGTTATTACTGAACTTTTTATTAATAAAAGGCTTTAAGCAAAAAACATATTAATATAAATTGATGATGAGCAGGCAGCATAAAAACTCTTCAGACTGGAGAGGTATGTTTATTCTGGATCAATTTATATGCAATATTCTCATGATATTTGATTTCAAAGTTTATGTATGAATTGGCCTGACATGAATAATAATTGAAAGTAAAATATGAACACAATGGTAATTTCAACATTATCATTAGTTTATATGAGTCAATTCAAGGTCAGTGACTATTGAGCTATATCCTTTTAAAAATCTGAGAAAAATATATTTAATATGCAATGATCTTCCTATCAATATACATATGAAGATCAAGGGCTAAACATCCATTCTCAGTAAATATATGTACATATATCTTATATGTAATGTAATCTATATACATATATACATAATATGTATATGTATGTGTATATATGTAGTAAAAAGATAATCATTGTAGAAATGCTTAGGTATACAGATATAGATACTAAGTGAAAAATATAAAATATTTATATATTTATAAATATATAAATATATAAAAAATATTTTCTCATTTTAAAAGTATTAAATTTAGCTTCACAGGTATTTATCTGAAAAAGATGGAAGGAACTCAAATTTGAACACATTTCTCTTTATCATAAGAAATATTTCATCCAAATAGATCTCTAAACATTTCAGGGGAAAAATGTTCAGGGAGAAGATACTGTTACATGTTTTAAATTACAAAATTGATGTTTCGAGTTCATTAATTATTTATTCCTGCTACCATGAACAAATTAATACAATTATATTTCATTCCATATGTACATTTATAGTCTCATATGATTCTGTATTATTGCACAGAAATATAGAAAAAGACACAAATGCAATAGAAAGTTTCTTCCTCATAAGAAAACATATAACTTATATTTACATATATGAAGGATTTCCATGGGATATACTTAATCAACATATAAGTGCATTGGAGCAGTTATAAACTGTTAAATTACATTATTGGAATAGATAGCCACCTTCTATAATATATTAAGTAATATACTCACATTTCTTTGTGCTTTGATTAGTAAACTAATAGTACTAGTGAGAAATATGCTTTCTTAATAATTCCACAAATCCATTAAATGTCTTGAATGAATTACAAACAAGACAGAGACTATTAGTACAAAATTTAGGTCGAATTAATAATAATATTTTAATGAACAGTTACTATGTGCTAAAACTGTGCAAAGATTCTAGAATAAAAGCTTTGTTAATTTAATGCACAAAACAATCCTATGAAGTAGATTATTTCACTTTTTTAGTTAAGGGAACTGAGACTTTAAAAGCTTAAAATTACTTGCCTAAGGTTATGCAGTTGATAAGTAAAGGAGTTGAAAATTTAAGTCAGAATTCTGTGCTCTTTACCAAAACTGGGCCTCCTACAAAATGTCAGGAGTATAAATGTGATTTGACTATGAGAACACAGAACACAGGCTGGATGATGCTAGACTAGTTTGTCTTACAATACAGGCACTCCCTTCAGATTCCCAGGAAGGCTGCATTCAACTCCTAACTAGTATTTGACTGGTGGGTTTATTCCTCCTGCTCTTTTGCACATCTTCTTTTGCTTATTCTTCAATAACAATATCATCACAAAGATTCTGTAACACAGACAGACCAGCAGGTGTAAGGTGGTGAAAGAAAAGGGGAAGAATGACCAGTACATCAACAGGAGAGCCTTCAACTATGCAGGTTTATACAACTACGACGGTTCGTTTAAGCAAACAAAGCACTTTGCTGTCATTGGCAATGCCCTCTATCATGCATACCTTAGACTTGTGTTAAGTGGTACAGTCACTTCTTCCAAGGCTTAGTATCCTGTTGTTCCTTTAACAAGGGCAAATCAAACACACATCCAACTCTTAAGGCAGCATTTTTAACAGAGCAGAAAGCAGGTCAATTTTGGCAGCTGAAGTCAAAGTTATTTTCTGATGTATGGAAAGAATTCAGAATTTATTTCCCCTCCTTACCCCCAAAATGCCTTAGAGCATGAACTAGAGAAAGAGCACTGAATCTACAAATAAATTTTTTAATATTTGCCATGTATAGTTATTAAAATTAACTCAATCTTATGTCTATAAATATTTAAAATGTGCATCTAGTGTTTATCTGCAAGGATTAACAATATAAAGTTTTTAATAAGGAAAAGAACATTAAGGAAATTGCTACTTGTAGCAATGTAGAACACAAATATGTAAATGGCAATAACTTGTACTTTCAATTAACATCGAGTTATGTCATTAGATTAAAATTTGCACTCTTTGAGGTTTACCTGTAGGTTAACAATTTTTTCTATCTTTTCTATATATTTTTAGTTATTTGCACTTAGTTGTTGGATTCACCTAAACAGCTTCTGAGATTTTCATGCAATATTTTTATCTTCAACTCGTAAACCTGCCATAGCAAAATATCTCTACCTTCTCCCATTGCTACAATCCACTAAGGATCTTTATACCATTAGGAAAACAGGTATCCTAGTCCTGCACCTTGACATATAACTATATGCTGTGTATCACAAAATCTTATGGGAAGTGAAATTTATAACACTAACATATGAACTCAAGAATTCTAAGACCTCATGGCTCTTACACAGCATAGACAGCTTTGTCTGCACAGCACAGTAGGCATTTCCCATGAGCCATGTAAAGGCTCAAATGGTATCATAAATTCAAAAAGCCAAGACTTAACTAGGGCATGGGTAGTGACCTCTTTCTACTTTATTCAGCTTCTAGTATCATTGAAAGTGAAATGCTGAAAAAATATAATTTTTTCAAAGGTTCATATTCAGTAAACATTAGCAAAAAAACAGGCTGTCATCATTTTTCATAGACTAAATGTCATTTCAAGTTCAAAGTGATTTTTTCCCCTTAGAAAGGCTGTCAGGATGTCATGTGTGTACTCTGTTTGATTTATAGGATTTTGGATCACTACGTTCAGGAGCAAATTCCTGGTTCCAAAGTGGTGGTGGAGTCCATTGGTGCTCGCAGGCATGGTGATGCCTTTTCTCTGGAAGATTACACCAAGTGTGACTTGATGGTCTATGCAATCGACCCCCAAACCAACAGAGCCATTGACAGAAATGAGCTTTTTAAGTAAGTACTTTTATTGTCAGCAATGGCTTTCTGGTACAATATCACCCATAGATAATAAGAATTTAATGTTTAAAAGCCACCAAATTATTGTAGAAAGTGAAATGTAAGCAAAAATACTCTAAGAGACAATACCTAGGGTCCACAAACCTAGAAGTTTTCAGGTCCGAGTGTGGAGTAGAGTGACTTCAGAGGGTCTTTCCACCTTTTGGTATCAGGTGGTCTATTATACTTATGAGTAAGTAGCAGTTTATTCAGATCAGCTCATATCTGCTCCTACTCCTGCTTCAAGGCCCTAGATACTTGAGAGGAAAATACAGATTCCTTCTTAAAGAGGCAATATGCCTTTAAAAATGTCCATAGGCATAAATTTTAGGAACAAACTTTGCTTTTTTTCAAGGTCTTATTAAATCACCAAAAATTAGTATCTGTTTTTTCCCTTGACTTGGGGTGGGGACTTAATCATTTTTCCTTTATCTAAGGCAATGCCCTATATTTTATCCTGGCATGAATTTGAATATTTTAGTTATAAATCTTAAAAATAAAGAAAATACAGAATCTTAAACAAAACACTACCACATATTCTTCCTTAGTAGTTACTCTAGAAGTTGAGTACTTTTTTAAAAAAATGTTAGTTTCTGCTTTAATCTAGCGACACCTAGTGTTCAACAGATTCTTGGAGTGTAATTCTTACCCAAACTGAAATACATTTTTAGTTGAGACATATGTATTGATACCAACCATAAGTGTATGCTCACATATTTATAGGTTTGTGTGTACATAAATTCACACATATTTTCCAAAGTCCATAATTTCAATTTTTTTGTGTATATATACTAAAAAGTGTGAGTGCATTTATTTAGTAAATGCCTATTTACCCATTTGTTTTATTAAAACCCTTAAATTTAAAAATTAAGTTTGTATTCAATCACTATTTCATTGTTTTAAAATAGGTCCAATAACACTCTATTGATGAACAGATTTAAAGTAAACTACATTTAAAATAGATTATATTACTGTAAAATAAAAGTTAATTATTAAAAAAAAAATACAGTGTTAGCTTGTAAGCCTTTCTTATATGTCCCATCTGTTTAACACTAGTCTGTTCAGATGGTAAATGAGAGATGAAGAAGGTAAAGATTATATATTCTACAAGCTGTATTTAAAATATAGTGTTTAAAAATACACACACTTCAAAATATAATGACTATCAAGCTCTGATAAACCTTCTATCAACTTCCTAAGTCCAGAAAAAACAACTTTAAATTCAGAATATTAAAAATTAAAATAAATGGAAAAGTAAGTATTAAAATCTGGATAATCTAGAATTGTACATAGGAAGTCACTATAGGAAGTCAGGTCTACCCCTGACTTGCTTTATTAGGCCAAACAACCTTATCCAAGTGGAAAGTATGTGGGCAGATGTGTTAACCATTGCCCATTCTCTAAACCAGTTTTGGAGGCCCAGATTGTGTACCTACCAGGGAAACAGGCAGCCACCCCTCCACTGGTTCGGTGTGAGTTCCTGTGAAGTACAGAGTACACTCTCCTGCTCACACTCCCTTTTATTTCTATATTAATATGTACATGACAATCCCAGAGTCACCAAAGTAAAATGCAGGGTGGACTGTTGGTGAACACACTGTGCTTTGAAAGTTGGGTCCCACACAAGTAAATAGAGAGGGAATACATGTTGGCATGTGTTCCATCAGTTGACTGAATCAGAAGACATGAAATTGGGTTTAGAAGTTAGTCTCAACACAGGAAAACAGATCAGTAATCAATTGATGTTGGCTAGATACCAGGAAGGGAACTGTTTGCCTCACCCTTAGACTTAACTATTTTCAAGGAGCAACTAAGTAAACTCAATGAAAATAAAGAGAAGATCACATTTCTTCACAATGCTGAATTTTACAGATCTATTTTCCTTCTGGAATAAGTAAGCAGGAGGGAAAATGGGATCAGTAATAAATACTGAAAAACAAAGCAAAGCAAATAACATACTGATGACTCAGATATATAGACTCTATATCTCTGGAAATATTCTACTGAAACCATTGGAAATAGTTTAACATTTTAGTGGAAAGCAAGATGGTATGAGATTGTGAAATGGTGTGTGTGTTTTATATGCCTTGAACCCTTCCCCTGTTTCTGCTCAAAGAACTGCAAAGAGAGAATTGGCCTTCTCCAATGTGGTGGTGGCAAGTTCTTTTGTAAGTATAAAGCAACAAAACAAAACAAAACAAAACAACAACAACAACAACAAAACAATTGGAGAATGCCATTCCTCTGCTTTCTTTGACTGGATGTGGGTTAATTAGCACACATTGCAGGGAGAACCAATTACATTATTTCTTCAAAGACTGATATAGTTGTTAGAAGATACCAGAATTCTTAATCCTGAAATCAGGGAGAACATGTAAAATGCATTGAAAGTCTTGATTCAACCCTGCCTGAGAAAAGAAATCATGTGAAAAATAAATTGGCAGCATGAAGTGTATACATGAGAAGCTCATAGCATATTAACACAAAGATAAAAATATATATAAAAATCATGAAAGAGATCTAAATATGTTTAGAAGTTAATTAAGATACAACCTGATAACTACAGGTATCCTTGAGATGAAAATTATAGTAGTTATCACAGAAATAAAAACTGAAAACAGAACTAAAATATTTTATTAGATTACAGCCAAAATCAGTGAAAAGGTACTCATATGTTCTTCAAGAGTATCTGCATATATTTTGAAGCCATTGAAACAGAAATAAAAATGACTGAATTATAAAGGAAAAAAATTAGATGAGCCTTATACCTCCCACCTGCATGTAAAATGTCAAAGGTAATGAAATTAAGTTTATAAATTTTTAAGAAAAAATATTATAATTCAAGAATTTTTTACCTAGGCAAGTTAGTTTGCATGTATAAAGATACACACACACACACACACACACACACACACACACACATATTCTAGATCAGTTGTGGGTTCTACAATGACCAATTCTTCTAGTAAACAATTACAAAATTTACCTAAGTAGGTAAATAAACCAAAGTAAATATCTAAAAAAGATGTAGCTGTTGTAATATAAAAAGGTTAGGAAATCTTCTTTTAGATGATTTTAGAAATCCGATAGATTTGTGATCTCTCAAATGGATTTTTCAGAAGAGGGGTAAAATTTTCTCTGCAATTAATGATCTTATTCTACTTCTGATCCTTCCCAGTTTCTAATAAATTTAGTATTTCTTGTGAGATAACTAAATTGATACTTCATTTGCAGTTTATTAACTTCTCCAATAGCAATTTCAAACAAATAGGTTTATCCATTCTATTTTAGTACTTTGAATAATGTTTAAATCTTATATTTTTACTATGTCTAAAATAACCTTGGAATATTGCTTTAAAAAGTATATTTTTATCTACAAAAGCATATTTGTAAAAAAAAATCCTAACTGCCTTAGCTATAGTAAAGAAACTTAAGTAAAAATGTGTGGCCCTGGCTGTTGTGGTTTGGTGGATTGAGAATCTGCCTGTGAACTAAAAAGTTCGGGCCTGTGTTTCGGCCAGGTCTGCAGTTGGGGGCATGTAAGAGGCAACCAGCATTGTTTCTCTCATACATTAATGTTTCTCTCCCTCTTTCTCTCCCTTCTTCTCTCCAAAAATAAATAAAAAGTATATTTTTTAAAAGTAAAAATGTGTGTAGCTTAAAACTAAAATTGAATTATCTAAGCCATTATGTTTCTTAAACATGAAAACTAATAAGCTATACTATAGAATTCATATCTGATTATCAGCCATCTCTTTATTTTTTTCCTATATGGAAACTCTATGAGCAATGTATTAATTAGATTTAAAATCAGCATAATCACTCAGAAAATTAGAATAAAGGGTATCAAAAAGGCATAAAGTGGACTGTAAAATGCAAAGTTTAACATCTTTATTTATTATTTAAGGGTGAAATGTGGGGCCATTTTCATTTTCTCTTTCACATTTCTTTGTGTTTTTCACATTTTAAACTGAAGTATGGTATTTTATATTCAAATATATTTCTAAAATAATATTTTCACTTTGAATATGCTATATGATCACAAGTAAATAAAATATTTTTAATACTAAAAGAAAAAAAGAAAAACATTAGACTTTAACATACCACAATGTTAAAATGTTAGCAGTGGTTATCTTTGCATTGTAAGCCTATGGACAATTTTGCTTTTTCAAATAATTTTGTGTTTTCCAATGTTCTATAGTAAGATATCTGACTTCTATAAATAAAAATCTCAAAAATTGAAAAAAGAAAAATACCTAATATATGTCATATATAGTTTTATGGTATTAAGAGCACTAATGTTGCATTAATATTGAGGATTTGTAAGGGAATTTTCAAATGTTTCCTAGAAATTTTAAGGGAGGAAAGGTTTTTCATCAGAGTCTAAAATATGTAACATTATTCAATCTAACACATTTAAGTAGTAAGTTTTTCTTAAATCTCCTCCCAATGCAATGCCCATAGTTGGAATTGCCCTTAAAGGAAGGGTTCGCTAAGAACTACTGTATTAAATTGAGCACTACTTTTGTCATTCTGATTACACTCATTTACTACCTGCATTATTTATTGTCATTTCTCTCTAAACACAAAATGCCTTTTAATTCGTTCACTTTTTTGCCCATAAGTCATTGTTTTATTTTCAATTTGAGAGTGTTGATATTTAAGATGGTGTGTGGAACACAAATATGTTTAAGTCTGAAGGCTTGAGTTGCCATCTCAGATTTGTTTCGGTAGCTGTCTGGCTTTGTGGCCTGCAGTAAACTGATGTTATAATGTTCTATTTTACATGGTTATTTTGAGGACCCAAGGAGATAAAATTCAGGAATGCTATTTTAAATTATGCGATAAATTTAAAATATATCTTATTCCCCTTTAATAACATAATAATGTTAATATACTCAACATAGTGATAGTAAGTTCAGTGATATTGATGACTTTTCCCAGGTCTGTAAGCATACTGTCTCATTGTTATTAATATTTTGGATGAGTATATAGATATGTAATTACTCTTCTTATTGTTCTTCCTTTTTTTATTTATTTTTTTAATTTTTGTTCAAATACAGTTTTCTGCCTGCTCTTGCTTTTATATATGATTTTTTACAGCAATAAACTCATCTGAGTTTATGTTTCAATTAAATTATAAAATATTTTATTTTTAAAAAGTTATTCTCTATTAATATTAATTTTGCTATTTATCTAACAAAGGTTTTTAGATGGCAAACTGCTCGATATCAATAAAGACTTTCAGCCTCATTATGGGGAAGGAGGACGCATCCTGGAAATCCGGACTCCACAGGCAGTGACCAGCATTAAAAAACGAGGAGAAAGTCTAGGCTACACAGAAGGGGCCTTGCTGGCTCTGGCCTTCATCATTATCCTCTGCTGTATTCCTGCCGTCTTGGTGGTTTTGGTCAGCTACAGACAGTAAGTATTCACACATGCCAAATGCGGATAGTTCCACAAGAAGGTGATAAGGAAAAACCATCTCTGGTAACATGGCTTTGTAGTTGTAAAATATCAATGGTGCAACCTTTCTGGGATTGCTGTATCTTTCCTGTACCAAACTACCTTCCTGTAAGGGAAAACAAAGTAAACTTCCAACACACTTTTCGTAGATTGTTCAGTGTTCCTGAGCTCTTAATATATTCTCATCCATAAGAATAGTTGGTTAGCTGCCATGTCTTTGTTTATGCTCTGCATCAGGATAAGAGCCTTGGGAGAGAAGGTAATAGGTCTCCTGAGGAAAAGGCAGTGAAATGGGAAGCAGACACTCATTTCAGCTGGTTCCAAAGAAAGATCTGAAACCAGACTACATTGTCAAAATAGGTTTTTATCCATGAGGTAACATTTACCTCTGTGCAGATGATCAGTGTTGGCAAAATCATTTAAAAATTAGAGCACATCTTATGTAATTTTTCATGTGGTTCCTTTCTTTCTGGGTAGCCTTTATAGAACCTGTGCTGTAACATCTAACAGTATATCTTGGCTCTCTAAGCCAAGGTTTTTCTGGTTCCTACCAACAAATGTATCCATTTAAAATACCTATATTTTTCCTTAGTTAGGCTCTTCAAAGTAGTCATTTAATTTTACCTAATTTAAACATATATATGTGAAATAGGCTAGCTAGCCATTTGTATCTAACACTACATATGGGGGATCATTGTGATAGAGGTCTACACATTTTATCCCTACTGACGATGATTGGTGAGAATATTTGGGACTAGGTTAAGAAGAGAGGTAGGCATAAAGTGTCACAAAATGAAACTACATAACAAATAAGAGTAATAAATAATATAAAATTCTGTTATAATGAACAGTAAGAGATAATAGTACAACTGCTATCATTATTAAAAATACCTACAAGGAAAGTTCTTATATATTATTTTACCAATGTCTTTGTTCTCTAATATTGAGAATTGTCTTTTGAATTACATAAGGTAAGGTTATTCCAATCTGAAAGTTAAAAAATATGCTCTGCATCAAGATGCTATAAAAATATTTTCTATCACAAAAACAATGTGAAGTTGCAAATATCCTGCATAACATTTAGGTTGAGATACTGGAGTTTCATGTATCCTCAACAAATGAATAGATGTGCCAAATTTAAGGCCTATGAAAAAACTCAATACTGGAAAAATTATTTTAAATTATTAAGCTATTAACCCAATATAAATTATCCATGTTAAATATAATTTGCATAAGAGTTATCCTTTTTATTCAACTATTTCCAAAGGAGCTTTATTATATTTTGCTAGCAATAATATCAATGAGAAAACTTTTATTTGACACACAATGTAGTGATCAAAAACTGGATATTAAACTCAGTAGTATGAAATTTAACAAAAAATTAGGATCTTAATATTTAAACATTTATATATACATTATATAATTATTTTTAGTTCAGTGATCAGCTGAATACTATGGATTAATTTTAGTTGTTGCTCTTTATAGATTAACAGAATTAAACCAAATGAGTTTTGCTCTGCTCATGTTTCAAAGTAAAGTTCTATTTTTAAAAGTCCAACTTTTGTACCTTCATATTCTGCTTGTAAATAAAATTGGAATGGATTTTTTAATATTAAGATGTGTCTTTAAAATTTGTTTTATGCACAGAAAAACCAAGAAGCAAACATGAAAATAGTCATTAATTTATTTTCATTTTATTTTTTAAAGGTTTTGTTTATTATTTTTAGAGAGGAAAGAAGGGAGAGGGGGAGAAAGAGGGAGAAATGTCAATATGTAAGAGAAACATTGATTGGTTGCCTCTCACATGCTCCCCAGATGGGACGTGGCCCATAACCCAGACCTGTGCCCTGACCCGAGTTGAACCAGTAAACTTTTGCTTTTCAGGACAACACCCAACCCACTGAGCCACACCTATCCAGGCAACACCGTGAACTTATTATTCAGCTTCAAAGTGAGGCCAAGAGTACAATCAGAGCATGCCACCTAATTCTATTATTATTTCTTTTATTAAAATTTATTGGTGTGACATTGGTTAATAATATTATATAGGTTTCATCACCTTATATTTGCCCTCCTTTAACCTTCACTATCCTTACGCCCCTTTCCTCTGGTAACCACCATACTGTTTTCTGTGTCTTTAAGTTTCAGTTTTATATTTGACATATGAGTGAAATTATATGGCCCTTAACTTTTTATGACTAAATTATTTCTCTTAGCATGATATTTTCAAGGTCCATCCACATTGTCCCAAATGGCAGTGTTTCTTATGACTGAGCAGTATTCCATTGTAGATATGTACCACATAGTTTTTATCAAATCATCTACTGAAGGACACTTTTGTTTTTTCCATGTCTAGGGTACCAAGGGATGCATATATCTTTGCAAAAAGATGTTTTTAAATTTTGGGGGTAGATACCCAAAAGACAGATTACTGCGTCATATGGTAACTCTATTCTTAATTTTTTGAAGAACCACTATATGTTTTCCTTAGTGGCTGTACCAGTTTACATCCCCTCCAGCAGTGAATGAGGATCCCTTTTTCTCCACAACCTCTCCAACACTTGTTATTATTGTCTGGTTGATAATAGCCATTAAAACAGGTGTGAGGTGCTGTCTTATTGTCGTTTTCATTTCCATTTCCCTAATAGTGAAGTTGAGCATATTTTCATGTATCTCTTGGCCATTATTGTGTGTCTTCTTGTGAGAAGTATCTGTTCAGGTCCTTTGCCCATTTTTTTAATTGGATTGATTGTTTGGTGTTGAGTTATATGAGTTCTTTATATATTTTTGGATATTAACCCCTTATTGGAGCTGTTGTTTGCAAATATCTTCTCCCATTTGATTGGTCGCCTATTTGTTTTGTGGGCAGTTTCTTTTGCTATGCAAAAGTTTTTTATTTTCATGTAGTCCCATTCATTAATTTTGCTTTTATGTCCCTTGTTTCAAGGGTCAAATTCGTAAAATGTTCTCTATAACCCAAATCCATAATTTAGTATCTATGTTTCCTTCTGCATAATTTATTATTTCAGATCTTATATCTAGATCTTTGATCCATTTTGAATTAATTTTTATACATGGGGATGAACTCTAATCTAGCTTAATTCTTTTGCATGTAGCTTTCCAATTTTCCCAGCACATTTGTTGAAGAGGCTTTCTTTTCTCCATTGTATGTTTTTGGCTCCTATGTTGAAAATTATTTGTCCAAGTACATATAAGTTTATTTCTGGACTCTCAATTCTGTTCCATTAGTATGTGTATCTATGTTCCTGCCAATCCTATGCTGTTTTGATTATTGTTGCTTTGTAGTATAATTGGAAGTCAGTTACTGTGATGCCTCTGGCTTCCTTGTTTATTCTCCAGATTGCTTTTGCTAGTTGAGGTATTTTGTGGTTCTATAAAAATCTGATGACTTTTTTGTTCTATTTCTTTAAAAATGTCATTGGAATATTGATGGGAATTGCATTAAATCTGTATATTAGTTTAGGTAATATGGCCATTTTAACTCTTGATTCTTTCAATCCATGAATACAGAATGTCTTTCCATTTCATTGTGTCTTTTTCAATCTCTTTTAATAATGTTTTGTAGTTTTCAGTATATAGATCCTTCAAATCCTTTGTAAAGTTTATTCCTAGATATGCCATTGCAACTGCAAAAGGAATTTTTTTAGTTGTTTTTTCTGAAATTTCATTCTTACTATATAAGAATGTAGTATACTGGTTTTGTGTCCTGCAACTTTACTGTATTGGTTTATTGTTTCTAATAGTTTTTGGTAGAATCTTTAAGGTTTTCTACTGTATACAGAATCGTGTCATGTGTAAAAAGTGACACTTAATTCTTCATTCCAAATTTGGATGATCTTTATCTTTTTGTCTTGCCTGATTGTGCTGGCTACAAATGCCAATATTATGTTGAATAAGAGTAGTGAGAATGGACATCCTTGTCTTGTTCCTGATTTTTAAGAGATTTTAGCCTTTCAACATTGAGTATGTTGTTAGCTGAGGATTTGTCTTATATAGGCTTTATTATGTTGAGGCACTTTCCTTCTATATCTATTTTATTGAGTGTTTTAATCATAAATGGATTCTGCATCTTATTGAATGCTTTTTCTGCATCTTTTGATAACATCATATGATTTTTATTCTTTTTTTCTGGTAGAGTGTTATATTACATTGATTGATTTGCTTATGTTGAACCATCTTTGTGCACCTGGAATGAACCCCAATTGATTGTTATGTATTATTTTTTAATGTATCATTGTACTTGATTTGATTAGGATTTTTGCACCTGTATTCATCAGAGATATTGGTCTGCAGTTTTCTTTTCATGTGTTATACTTGCTAGGTTTTGGTATCAAAGTTATGTGGGTCATAAAATGTGTTAGAAAGTAGGGTCTTATCTTCAGTTTTTTGGAAGAGCTTGAGAAGGACAGGTATCAGATCTCCTCTGAATGTTCAGTAGAATTCACCAGTGAAGCCATCTGCTCCTGGACTTTTATATTTGATGGTTTCAATGTCCCCACTGTTGATCAGTCTATTTATATTTTCTAATTTTTCATGATTTAGTCTAGGAAGTGTGTGTGTGTGTGTGTGTGTGTGTGTGTATTTATTTATTTATTTCTAGGAACTTACCTATTTTTGTAGATCATTGATTTGGTTGCATATAGTTTTTCATAGTATTCTAGCATAATTATTTGTATTTCTGTGATGTTTGTGGTAAATTCTCTTTCATTTCTGATTTTATTTATTTGAGTCATGTCTTTTTTTGTTCTTGAGGCTAGACAGGAGTTTGTCAATTTTATTAATCTTCAAAAAACCAGTTATTTATTGTATTAATTTTGTATAGTAATTTTGTTCTCATTTTTGTTCAATTAAGCCTTGATTCTTGTTGACTTTAGGCTGCTTTTGTTATTCTTTTTTAATTCCTTAGGTTGTTTAGTTGATATATTTCTTGTTTCTTGAGATAGGCCTGTAATGGCATAAATTCCCCACTTGTTACTGATTTTGCTGCATTCCATAACTTTTGATATGCCATATTGTCACTCTCTTCTCTATATGTCTTTTAATCTCATCTTTTATTTCTTTTTTGACTGAGTCACTTTTTAGTAGTATGTTATTCAATCTCTGCATGCTTGTGGGTATTTTTACTTCCTTTTTGCAGTTTATTTATAATTTCAAAGTGTGTGGTCAGAGAATATGCTTGGTGTGATTTCAGTCTTGTTAAATTGGCTAGTTTTGTTTCCCAACATATACTCTATCTGTGAGAATGTTCCACATGCACTGGAGAAGAATGTGTAATCTGATGTTATGGAATGAAAGGCTCTGTAAATGTCAATTATATCACTTGGTCTAATGTGTCATTTAAGGCCAATATTCCTTTATATTTTTTCTGTTAGGATGATCTATCTAGTGCTCTCAGTGGAGTCTTTAGGTCCTCTACCATGGTTGTATTTTTGTCTGTTTCTTTCATTCTGGTAGCAGCTACTTTATATATTTTGGTGTTCCCTGACTGAGTGCATACATATTGAGAAGTGTTATGTTTTCTTGATGTAGCATCCCCTTTATCATTATAAAATGTCCACCTTTGTCCCTTGTTACCTTTGTTATCTTGAAATTTATTTAGTCAGATATAAGTACGACTATGCCTGCTTTTCTGTAGATACTATTCATTTGGAGAACCATTTTCCACCCTTTTACTTTGAATTTAACTATGTTTTTTCAGCTTAGATGTGTCTCCTGAAGGCAGCATAAGGTTGGGTTTTGTTTTCTAATCCAATCTGCTACTCTGTGCATTTTTACTATGAATCCAGTCCATTTACATTGAGGGTTATTACTGATGTATAAAGATTTCCAATGACCATTTTATCTTTTGTTTTCTGGTGGCTCTGTCCCCACATTGGTTATTTTCCTTTGTGTTTCTGTCTGTTGTTTTGTTTTGTTTTGTTTTTTATGGCATCCCATACCTTTTTTCTGTTTCTTCTTTGTTTCATGTTGTATGTCTGAGGTTTTGTGTGTATGTGTGTGTGTATGGTTATCATTAGATTTATGACAAAAATTCTTCATATATACCATAGCTTTTTTCTTTTCAATGCATCTAATCTGTATCCTCCTTTGCAAATTCACATCTTTAACACCCTCTCTTTTATGTATTTGTTGTCAAAAATTATCACTATTTATGCTGTAGTTTGTTGGTGATTCACTCATAGTTTTGTGATGTTTTTGTTCTTTGTTTCAGGTAGAATAACCCCCTTAAGTATTTCCTGCATTGGAGGTCTTCTGGTGATAAACTCCCTCAGTTGCTGTATTTCTGGAAAAGTCTTTCTTTCCCCATCATATTTAAAGGATAATTTTGTTGGATATGTATTTCTTGGCTGATAATTTCTCTCTCTTCTATCTTATAGAGGTTTTGCTGAGAAGTCCAATGATAACTTAATGGGCTTCCCTTTATAGGTTACTTTTTTCTTTTCCCTGGCTGTCTTGAGAATTCTTTCTTTGTCATTAATTTTTCACAAATTTAATAAAATGTGCATTGGAGAATGACTTTTTGGATTGAGGTAATTAGGTTCTCTTTGCTTCTTATTTTAAAGACCTAGCTAGCTCTTTCCATAGGTTTGGGGAATTCTATTTGTTTGAATAGGCTCTCTGTTCCCTTCTTCATCCCTTCTGTATGCCTATTATTCTTATATTACTCTTTCTGATGGAGTTACATAATTCTTGTAATTCTTGTTCTTTTAATTTGTTTATGCTCAAGTCTCTTCTCTGCATCATTTCTCAATTTCTGTCTTCAATATTGCTAATTCTTTTCACCATCTGGTCAGCTCCACTTCCTATGCTTGCCAGTTTATTCTTCATCCTTTATTGAGTTCTTCAACTCCAGAGTTTGTGTGTGTGTGTGTGTGTGTGTGTGTGTGTGTGTGTGTGTGTAATTTCAATCTCTTTGGTAAAATACACATTTTGTTCATCAATTTTGTTTCTCAGTTCATTAAACTTCCTATCTGTGTTGTCTTGCATCTCATTGAGCTTTTTAGAACTTCAGTCTTGAATTCTCTGCCACTTAAATCACATAGTTTCATGTCTTTAAGTTTATTTGCTGGAGATTATTTCTTTTCTTTCTGAGCTGCCTCATTACTTTGGTTATTCCTGGTATTTGACAGATTTCTTCTCTGTCTATGTGTCTATGTATGAGTGGCATTTCTATAACAGATTGATAAGAAGTCTTTCTATTATTTTCCAGTAGGTAGCACTTGTGATTACATTTTTAAGTCTCTCTTGACCTTCTCTGGCTTTTTCAGATCTCTGCAGGGTAGTGTAAAATGGCCTGTGCTCCCTGAAAAGGTGGGCACCTCCCCTGCAATTCAGTTGCCTGGGTTGTATGGGGACCAACCCTTCAAGGGAACATCAGTGGGGCTCCAAATCAGTGAAATCCCAGTGTTGCCCCTTTGTAGCCAGACACCACTGGCAGGGCAGCAGTGATGTGTATGGGTGAGGTAAGCTGAGGGAACCCAGCCACCTCTTTTGTTGCTTTGTCCTCTTTGCAAGAGCAACCGGTGGATCTTCCTGGCACCTCCTCTGTGTCTCCACCTGATTCTGGGATTAGTTGCAGATGTGCCCTTTGCTCAAGGAAAAAGTGTTCCTGTAGTACCAGTTGTAGGGTTTGCAGATATTGTACTTTGCAACCCTCTGCAGCCTGACACAAAGGGTGAAAACAGGGGAGTTTGCTTCTCTGTCAGGAATGCTGATTGCTAGACAACTGTGGCCACACCTTCGTGCTTCAGGTTACCGGGCTTAGCTGTAGGTAATACTGCCAACTCCTACAGGAATGCTCACAAAATCTCTCTGATCCTCCTGGCTGAAGGGAGTCTGAATTGAAAGCTCACTATTCCTCTCTCCCTTGTGAGCCCCACAGTGAGCTCCAGGCTTCAAGGCTGCATCTGTGACTCCTTTGAGCTCTTCTGCCTTCTCACCTCCCCAGTTCACGTCCACCTGAAAAGGTGGGCACACACCTTTAGAAGTTTTCATGTGCAAATCTCTCAGACATGTTTGATTTTGAGCAGGGAATTCTTTGTTGAATTGTAACTGTTCAAATTGCTGAAACTTCAAAGGGAGAGACCAAGAGGATCCATCACGCCACCATTCCTCTGACATCACTCCTCAGCTCTCTCTATTCCTTTAATATTCTTCAAGCACAGTAAACCAAGAAACTGATTATAAATATCAGATCATTTTTAATATTGTGTTTCACATACCCATATTTTAATAAGGTTTTTCTTATTTATTTGTTTGTCTCCAAAGAATGTTTTAACAGCTTATATGACTGTAACAGTAATAATAAAATGCTCACCATTTTCACGTTCTGAATTAAAATAGTTTTTCTACTATGTCATTAAGTTTGCCTCAGAGTGTAACCAGTAAATTATTCATGTTTTGGAATAAATCAGATATCAACATATAAATGCAATATTTTTAATGTAGCTCTCTCTCTTTCTCTCTTTTTTTTACTCATTGCTTTCCCAAACAGGTTTAAAGTGTAAGTATAATTACTGATAATTCACTCATGGTTTTATGAAATATGAAAAGGGAAACACCAGATGATACTGTTAAAGTAGTCACCCTGTCCATACCCATGTTTTACTTATCTGCTTTGTATTTGCAATAGGTATATGATTTTTAATTCAAATTCCCTTGTCGTTTACATGTATAGGATTGAGCTAGTTTTACACGATGGATACAAGTGGAGGAAATGTGAAAAAGACAGTTTGCTCTGAGGGCTCCTACTCTTTGAGATCTTGGTTTTGAGGAAGGAGTTAACAATCAGTTCCCAGGACAGTAAAAGAGAACAGCCTATCACTATTGCAAGAAAGACAGGCATTCCTAGGTATCTAAAAGAAATAAAAGATAACCAAGTTCCCTTCTAAATATACACACCTATACTGCCTCTGTAAATTAATGTTGACAATGTTTCAAATTATTTTTAAATAAGATAACTCTTATTTAAATAGATGAAAGATAAATAGCGAAAAGTTGTCTTTTATCTACCACACATTATGAAAGAAATCCATTAAACAACTACCAATTGTCAATCACATTTTAATAAATATTTTATCTTCTCCATTTAATATTACAATTTAACATTGCAAATATTTCAAATGAATTCTGTTATTCAAGAGGTAAATATCTTAAAGTACTATGAGAGCATTTTTAAATATCTTGTAGGGATACTTTTGTAATTATATTAGTTTATAAGTTCAAATAATTGTATGAATATGTTTTTTTTTTTTAAACCAGGTAGTCTCTCTGGTAACTGTACATTATTATTATAAGGTAGCTTATTAAGAAGTATAGGATTTCTAAAATAGTTTTACAAACACGTGCTTACTTTCCTAAAGACGCCAAGCTGAATGCACCAAGACAGCGCGGCTCCAGGCCTCAATGCCCCCGCCTAAACCAGCAGCTCCTGCCGCTGCACCAGTGGCTGCCCCTCCGCCTCCACCACCTCCGGGTGCGCATCTCTATGAAGAAGTTGGGGACAGCACAATGTAAGTAGACCTTTCAGGTACTTTTAGAAGTAAATGAGTTTTGATGGAAGCTGTGTGGTGAGTATTTAATTTTACCTTGATGTATGAAATGCAATTTGCAGCATACATTCTTAGATTTTTAAAACACAAAATTGTTAGGAGCCCTAGACAAGATAAACTGAAAATTAATAACAAAAAATTTTAACTAAATAACAGAAAACAAATATGTACTCAGTATGAGCAGATATTTACAGATGAAGAGCTTGAATATTATAATCAGGGTCCAAATATAATAAGTTCTGAAAAAAATTGCTTCTCATAGAAAATGAGAATAAAGCACAATCATAATATAGTAATTCCTGATTTCGTATCAAAGGTTAACTCCTGCTTGGTGATATAAAACAATTCTGTGGTCTAAAGTCTTTTAGACTTTTCTAACATACTATTTTATAATGTCATAGAATAGAATAATTAACATCTGAATAGAAATAAATATTAAATATCCAAACTAATTAGATAATATCATTTTTATTGTATTCAACTCAAAAGATCCTGCTATGATAGCTTAATATTTCTTTTATAATATTTGGAATCTCTAAGCAGTATTAAATCATTTTTGAAAGAGACTATTAAATTATTATTGAAAGTCTATACAGCTGTTTCTATAATTATGCACTCTCAAAACCTCATTCTTTTGGAGATGTTTAACTTGTCTATATTTTTAAAATTCAGGAATAACTATTTCCGAACATGACATGCAAAATAACCGAGGATATTATAAAATTTTGAATATGACTAAACTAAATCCAGAAAACATTTTATTACCTGGAATTGGTTGGAGTTGAGGTTCTTAAACACATTCTATTGTTACATTTTAGCATTTACTTGTAGGAATAAAGCAAGCCTCAAAAATTATGAAATTTACCCTTTAATGGGAAAATTGGTTTTAAACATAAGTATCAATACCATTTGCCATATTAATACTATTATAGAAGGTTATGGGAAGGATGGCTTTTCAAATTTTAAAACTGATATCAATTTGTATATTTTAGTGCTAAAATTAAATTTAAAACAACTTAATGCTTGTCATTCTATTTCTAAAATAATAATATAGGATTCATGTCTTAAATATAGTTTTTAAGTCATTTTTTCATACATTGAAAATGATGGTCTCTTTTTAAATTATTGGTGAATGTAGGAATTGAGCCAATATGATTTGATTATTTTCATTATGTTAACCACCTTTCTCTAGCAAAATGGTTTAAAAACTAAAAAAAGATTTAGATGTAAAGTTGTGTTGGTTTTATGTGAAATTAGGGAAGGATATGTCTTTATTTTTATTTAACAAAAAAAGGTATAAATTGACATCATTTGAAATCAATATAGTTTGATGGTGATAATTTTCAAATAGCAACACTTAAGGACTATTTTTATTTAAAAATTGTTATAGAATTAGTAGAGAATTTTAGAATTCTAATATGTATTTATTGAGTATTTTAAATTTTACAATTTAATTATCTTTAATGAATGTTTAACTTATCTATTCAAAACTATTTACAGGGGTTCTAATCATAAGTAATTGGAAAAATGAATGGCAAATAAATTATAGACAAATGTTTTTAAAAGAAAAATATCAAAGGTGTTTAAAAAATCTTCATGAAGTAGTAACTTCATGTAGATTCAATAATTACTCTCTAATAGTTTTTATGGTATTTGTATACTTCCTTTCAAACAGTACTTATGTCTTTTTTATATATTAGTGTAGACCTATTTTTCAGATAAGTCATAAAGCCATTCTTAGAATCTCATTTAAAATTGCTGTTTTAGGACTGAAATCATTCATGTTTAATAAAGGTAAATCTAACCTATATATATGAAATAAATAGCTAGATATAATTTTATGTTATAAGACAACAAATTTTATGTCATGATTTTATCTAAAACATTGCATATTATCCTAATGAATAAATACAAAGAAGATCTAAAATATGCATTTCTTTTTTGGGTATACTTATTGTTTAATGCTAGTACCTATTAGCATTTTCATAATCATTTCAAATTAACTATAGTTAAAACTTTTCTTTTCTGTCACATGTTTTCTCTTTCTTACCTGTGGATACATAGGCATAAGTAAGTAAATAATATTATTCTAATTCAAAGGCATTAAAAAAAGATGAAATAGAATAGATTAAATTCTGTGTTACTCCATAAACAGTAAGCATCTTTTACCATGGAGTCATTTACTTTAAATAGAAAGTTATATCTTCCATGCCTCACTTCCTTTTGATATCTGGAAATCGCATGAGTTTAAAGAAGTGTTCCTACTGATAGTACCTGTCCCTACCAAAAGGAGTTTCAACATTCTCTTTGCTTTTAATGTGTTAAAATATTTATATGTATATATATTTCAATTAAGTGATGTGATGTCATTATATAGATAATTTTTCCAAGAAAAACTAAACCAAGAACAGATCTACACAAGAACTGCTATACAACATCAAACTCATTTTTAAAAATAACCTTTTAAGATTAAGAAAAGTGTTTGCTGTCAGTTTAATCTACACTGTATACACTTTCTAAATTATTCAGGCAGCCCTGTTACCTTAAGTCCACCTGTGAGAATTCTTTCTTGAACTTTGTATATTTACAAAATGTTGCAATAATAACTTTGGCTTTATATATTATTTATTGCTTCACTTGTCATCTTAGTGTTTCAATGTGACTGTTTAACTTTTATTCAAAATATTTTATTTTAATTTATTTCTTCTAGGTGACTAAATATTAAACAAAAACAAAAGTAACTCAGTCGCTCTGAGCTTTTGGGCCAAGGGCCCGAATGCTTTCATCCGAGGCGCTTATTCATACCCTTTGACTTACTCAATTTTATTTATGATGGACAGCCTCCATGACTCAGTATCCATGTATGAGAAAATCTTCCAGTTGTATCAAAACTATGTTTGATTAACATCAATTTTTTCAGCAGAGCAAGTCCTGACTAAAATTTGATCCTGATTATGTTTAAAAGAAATTCTAACAGCTCTTCTCTTTTTGTACTATATATAATGTTTTAAACTCATTAAGCAAAACTTGAAATAGAAGAAAATCTCTATCAAGATTCTATTGTATATTGAATTTCTCAATTGTGATTTTGAGCTCCTAGAGAGAAATTCTCACATGTGCTTGGGGATTTTAATTCTCTTAACCTGGAGAATAGAAAAAAAAATCCCTTTCTGTATTCTCTTGCTAGCTTTATCTCATGCAGGAAAGCACTTTTAGATCCAGGACAAAATGACTGAGTTGAAAGATAATGGATGGGTATGAATCAGATACAGCTAAGGCTCCTTTCCCCCAAACAGTTAGCTCTGAACATCCTAACCCAAGGCAAAAGATGTGAAACCATCAACCAAAATGTTAGTCTGCAATTTGGAGAATTGTGATTTATGTATCATAGAACTGTTATGTGTGGTCATGGATACTTTGCTGTATCAAAATAATTTAAAAATATCACTGTGCAGATTGCAACTTAAAAAAATGAATATTTCTTATGTTACTCACAGCTCTCACTTTTCTGCCGTGTCTTTTGGAGAATAGGGACATGAAAATAATGTTTTGTTTTAGTAGATTAGTGTTATTTGGCACTTTATATTTTGAAGTAGTAATGAGAACCATAAAAACATCTTTCTCATGAAAGCTATATCACAGCCTGTTTCCTTACATTTCATTATCTTCTTCTTTTTCAAGTCTTTTTCTTCTCTACCATTTTCAACAAAGCAGGGGAAATAAGTCAGTCTCAGAAGACAGGAAACATCAGGATGTTGTGATGCCCTCTTCTTCCAATACTATTGAGGCTCACAAGCGGGCTTATGTAGATGGATCACTTAAGAACAACCAGCCCAAGTCTGAGAGAAAATTCACATTGACAACTGATGAGGATGCCTTAAGTACCCACAATACCCTTTATAATGAAAATACAGATCAAAGATCAACAAATCCAGACTTTTCAGTAAGAACAGTTTCTGTAGGCTCATTTTTATCCAGAACACAAGCCAAAAATGAGTCTCTGAGGGGTCCAAGAGAAAAAATTCAAAAGATGTGGAATCAGACAATCTGCTTACCTAGGAGATCAATGTGGGAGCCTCCCAATAGAACAGAAACCATAGATCTGGAGCAATGGCGAAACAACAGGCAGAAAGCTAAAAATGAAAGCACTGAAACCCATCCAAACAGAAGAGGTAGCAGTAATCCCTTGCTTACAACTGAGGATACAAGTTTCACAGAGAAAGAGGAAATAAGGGAAGATGAATCCCTGGTTATACAAGGAACAGAACAGATGAAATCTCTGTCTTCAGACTCTTTATTTTCTTCTCCTTGGTCTCATTCCACATTCTCTACTTTGCCAACTGTTTCAAGAACTGTGGAACTCAAATCAGAACCCAATGCCATCACTTCTCCTGCTGAGTGTTCCTTGGAACTTTCTCCTTCAATGCCGTGCATTTTAAATTCTCCCTCCTTTAGGAGAGAGACACCTACTTGTATGTTGACTATTGAAACCAAGAGAAACATTTTCAAAAATCTTCTGCATCCACCAAACATCTCTCCTCCCCCTCCTTCTCTTCTCCCTCCCCCTCCTCCCCCTCCATCCTTTCCTCCTCCTTCTCTTATTCTTACACCTTTTTCTCTTTCCTGTACTCCTTCTCCTCCTTCTAATCCTCCTCCTCTTCCTCCACTTTCTGTCTCCCCTTCTCCTTTGTCTGCTTCTTCTCCTCCTCTACCTCTTCTACCTTCATGCCCTTCTCTTCCTCCACCACCTCCTCCTCTTCCTTCTTCACTACCTCCTTCAACTTCAGGTGTATTCACTAAGTGTGTTTGTATACCAGCTGATAAATGCACTGTCAATATGACACCAGCCAAGGAAATAAAGTCCTCTGCAGTACAGCTATCAACATCAACAGCAGTGAGTAATGCAGATCCTCAAAGAGAACCAAAAGGAATACTCAAACATGTTAAAAACTTAGCGGAAC